ACATCCTACCTCCTCCAACGACTCTTCCTATTCAAGACAGATCACGGGGAACCTGTGTTGACCATCAGCCCAGCACAACCTTGAGGCTGGAAAAGCAACTCCTGCCTTTAAATTATGGTTTTACTATAGCTTCCCTGTGAGCCAACTGTAAGACTATTAAATGTGTTTTAATAATTTAACTCCAGGGAACCCGGGTGGCTCAGTCGGTTAAGCGTCTGACTTCAGCTCATGTCATGATCTCACGATCCGTGGGTTCGAGCCCTGCATCAGGCTCTGCGCTGACAGCTCAGAGCCTGAAGCCTGTTTCGGATTCTGTGTCTCTCTGCCCCTCCCCTGCTCATGCTGTCTCCCTCTCTCTCAGAAATAAATTAAACAAACATTAAAATAATAATTTAACTCCAACTATTTTAAGAGTTAGAGACTCGATGCTCCGAGTTTCCAGCAGTGCACACAGCCACGGCACTCGCTTCCACTCTAGAGGGACTCAGGCAAAACTCTCCAGTGAACAAACAGGAATGAACTTCCCCTACTTCTACAAACCACAAGTGCCTTTGCAACAGAGTATTTATGCATTATTCATTCAATAATTATTTGTTGTATATGAAAACAAATACACAAAACAGCAAAACTCTCTTAATATAAAAATAGGCACGTGATTTGGATCTGACAGACACGAGTTTAAATCCCGACTGATTGCTGTGAGGCCTTGGGCAGATCACCTAACCTCTCTGAATGTACATTCCCACAGGAGTGGAGACAGAGAAAAGACGACTTCCCTCCCAGGGGTGGTGTGGGGGCTGACGACAGGAGGCCCGCACACGGAGGGTCCGGCGCCGCCCCCACCACTCTGCGGCGGCCTCTACGTGGGAGGCCCCGGATCTGAGAAGGTGAAGGCCGCTACGCAACAGAGAGGGATGACGGAGTGAGAAAAACCACTACCCTGTCACCAGCCAAGTACCAGGTGATTCAGGCGGAATCCTCTATGGAAGGAAAACTGCCGGGGTCTCCAAACGGGTCACCTGGTCATTACAGAGCGGAGTGTCCAGCTGTGTGCGGGGGGGGACCTGGCAGACGCCCCCACACAAGCCAGCACTGCCACGATGAAACAGACGGCCGTCGTGTCTGTGCCGTGGTGCATGGAAAAGGAAGAAACTCGGTGGCTTACAGAAGGTCACGGCCCCAGACACACGTGTGGACACTACACAGAGGCAAACATCAGACAAACCCAGAGTCAAAGGCTATCCTGCGGAAGAAGTGGCCTGTAAGCTTCAACGCTGTGAGCGTGGCGAGACGCAAAGGAAGGATACGGAGCTACTCTCCACCACAGGAGAGAGAGGTGCGAGCCCGGGTCCTGGGTGGCGGAGGCTGTGGTGAAGGACGTCAGTGAACAACTACTACAAAGGGACGATGACAGCGTATCCTAATGCCTCCGTCTTAATTTTCCCAAATTTCCTAACCGTATCGTGGCTGAGAGAAAGCCCAATCGTAAGAAATACATGCTGATTTATTTAGGATAAGAGAGTATCAAAAAGAGGGAAGAGAAATAAAGCAAAAGTGGGAAAATATGATCAACTGGTGACTGAGAGTTCCCTGTCATGTTTTCATTATTCCAATGTTCGAGATTATTTCACAAGAATCAAACATTTTTTAGAAGAGGAAGATCTGACTTCTGCCCTCGAGGATCCTCTACTCTACCGGGAAAGAGAGCACGGCCTAATCACTCTAACGAAGAGCCTGCCAGTAAGAACATCACGTCCGGAAGCAGACAGCGCGGCAACATCAGGAGCGAGCAGAGAGGGCCCCACGGGGCGGGTCAGAACAGCCGTGGATGTTTCCCCCCGAAAATACCACAGGTGAGCTCCGGGTGGTCTGAGAGCGCATCTGCGCGCTCTGGTGGCCATGAGTGAAGGGAGGAAGGAAGAGCAATGAGAAAGAAGAACATGTGGAAATAAGGGGACGGTGGCGCCTCGATGGCAGCCGCAGGGCGGGGGGGCACACGGGGCCGCCGCAGCTGCGGTCGTGGCCCCGCTCCCATCGCAGGCTGGCGCTGAACCGCTCGTCATTCCAGCTCAGTCAAGACCTGGGTCTGATTGGGGCGCCTGGGTGGCTTAGTCGGTTAAGCGTCTGACTTTCGCTTAGGTCATGATCTCATGGTTCGTGGGTTCGAGCCCCGCGTCGGGCTCCGTGCTGACTGCCAGCTCAGAGCCTGGAGCCTGTTTCGGTCTGTGACTCCCTCTCTCTGACCCTCCCCTGCTCACGCTGTCTCTCTCTCTCTCTCTCTCTCTGTCTCTCTCTCCCTCCTAGAAATAATAAATAAATAAATAAAAATTTTAAAAAAAAAATTTAAAAATACTAAAAAAAAAAAAAAAAAAAAAAGACCTGGGTCTGATCAGCCTCGCTTCCTACCCGATCTTCCTGGACAACGGAGACCAAAGTCACGTGAAAACCTTCCCGAGAACTCCGAGCCTCTTCGTGGGCTTGTTTTAACCAACGTCAGGAAAGCTGAGGCGTTAAACGTGGCAGGTAAGGCTAGCAGCTGCGGCAAGGGCCTTAAAACCGGCCACCTTCGAGTCAACATTAGACATAGTCACGGGCTGAGGGGCAAGAAAAGATGGGAGGAAACAGACACCCAAAAGTGGCGTCGTTCGGACCCCAGGGGCGGTGCCGGGCCACACACGTGGGCCCGGACATCAGGAGCTCTGGCCGGTGGGCGGGCAGGACTGAGAAGGCTTGTGAGTCACAGGCGGAGGGCGAGGCCCCTCACCCCTTCCTCCTACCAGGGAGGCTGCCCTCGCCCTGCGCTTGGGACTCCCGTTCCGGGGGTACAGTGGGCGCCTCCTCCCCGACTTGCAGAGAGTAACATCCTAACAGCAGGTCTAACTGACCCCCTAGGTCACCCGTTCACACAAGTACCATCTTCGATGTGACCTTCCCCATCGGCACGGCCCCCGGCCCCCGGCCCCACGCTGAGGGGAGGAGCAGTTCAGGAGCCCTTATTTCCCTTGGATTCTCCTGGTGACCGCACACAGGCTCTGCTTCCCCAGCCTCCGGCCTCCGCCCCCTAAAGATGAAGCGGAGCTCTGGAAGGAGGATCCTTCGGGCCCCGACAGCTGCCTTGCCCTGCCCCCCAAGTCCTACTAAAAGGGAACCAGAGGTGTCACACACCCGTCTCCTCAGAGAGGTGTTCGGCTGTAATCTTTTTTTTTTTTTCTTTTTTTTAAAATATTTTTATTTATTTCTAGGAGAGAGAGAGACAGCGTGAGCAGGGGAGGGTCAGAGAAAGAGGGAGTCACAGACCGAAGCAGGCTCCAGGCTCTGAGCTGGCAGTCAGCACAGAGCCTGACGCGGGGCTCGAACCCACGAACCGCGAGATCATGACCTAAGCGAAAGTCGGACGCTTAACCGACTAAGCCACCCAGGCGCCCCTGTTCGGCTGTAATCTTAACAGCAGGCCAGCACTTCACTTCGCCCTGCGCTACCGCACGCCCTACACGAGCCCCTCGTGCTAAGGAACTTACTGACGTTGACGAAACACTCGAGGCAGATGCTGTTCGCATGCAACCCTAAAAGCACATGATTTCTGAATTAAGAGAAATATCTTCTTGCTCATTTCTGGAAATAAAAATTCTTCCAGGGGCACCGGGGGCGGAGGGGGGGCACAGCTCATACAGTTAAGCCGCTGACTTGATTTCACCTCAGCTCCTGGTCTCATGGTTTGCGAGTTCGAGCCCCACACTGGGCTCTGCATTGACGGTGCAGAGCCTGCTTGGTTTTCTCTCTCCCTTTCTTTCTCTCTTTCTCTCTGTTCCTCCCCTACTTGTGCTCTCTCTCGCTCTCTTTCAAAATAAATAAACTTAAAAAGAATTCTTCCATGTTTGTAGATTTTACATATTATTTGGCCCTAAAAATATATTTTTTACATTTAACAGAAAGAGGATGGAAAATAATAAGAGTCCTAGAAGGAATTTTCACAGAACACTGACTACTAAAATGACACATTTTCTGATTATGAGGTTCTAAGTCAAACCCCTGGAAACACCTCATTCTCAGCAGCAGGGCAGTAAGCAACCTGCCAGCAGGGGAGAGGGAGGGCTCGACCAGCAACGAGACACCAGCAGGGAGAAATGCCCTCCGGACAAGCGACGAGGGACCGGTGTTAACCCCGCTGGGGGGGCTCTGCGCGCACACGCGGGGCCTGGAGGCTTTCCTGTGGCTTCTCGGTCAGTGACGCCACCCCTGCTCTCAGTGCTGGCAACGGGAATGGGAAACAGCAGCAACGAAATCGGCCCACGAAACACTCGGGGTCACGTAAACGTGGTGCATGGAGCTCATCCAGAGCCCATGTGGCCCCTGGTGAGGACCGTGCCACCCTCTGGCCGGCCTCACTCTCCGTGCCTCCTCTGGGAGGGGGACCCTGAAGTCGGGCTTATTACTCTTTCAAGAAGCTAGATCTGCTTCCTTTTCACTTTCAACTCCGCACCAAAGTCGAATGAAGTGTGTGAGGGTCGACTCCCCAGGGGATCTATGACAACTTAGGGCAAAGTCATGGGCTTCACCCAACGTTTAAGCCCACGGACCTGTGACACTCGGATGAATAAGCAGTTTAACACGAAAAGGAAACCTTAGCCTTTGGAACGGTAAGAAGGGCATCAGACACGAAAACGGAAACATCTAGTCCCCATGTGCGGTGCTCCTAACGGCAGAGGCCAGTACCTCCCGGCGCAGCGCTGCTCACGGCAGGTCCCCGAGCCCTCACCAGGCCACGAGGGCCCGAGTGTCAGGCAGAACAGGCCCAACACGGAGAAAGGCAAGTGCAGAGAACAGAGCCCCGCTGAAGGGTGTGCCAGGACCCAGCCCGTGGGCGCTCCCAGGCAGGTTAAGCGTGCATGGCCCGCGGCAGTGGCTGCCGCCCCAGGGGCTAGGGGCGCACTGTGCCGAGGAACTAGGAGCCTGCGGACACAACCCCGCACGGTCACGAAACGCATCAGACACGGAAGTACCTGTTCCTGTAGGTCGTAGTCATAGCTGTCGTGCAGCAGGAGGCTGAGGACATACCGAGTGTAAATCATGGCGTCAATGCCGCATTTCTCCAGCTCCTGTCCCAGCCAGGTCTGCACTGGGCCCAGAGCATGGAGCAGAGACATGTCAGAAACAGACACGGGGCCCGGAGAAGAGGCTGCGGAGCTCCCGGATGGTAAACCGTCCACGACTACTGTACAGACAGGGCGCATGGATTTAGGTCGCTGACATCCTTAGCGTGCGAGGCATTTTCTGCAGGTGACGTCCTGGTGGTATCCGGAGGGGACTTTCACTCCAGGGAAAAGGAGAGAGGCCGGACATGGAGGCCACGCATCTACTTCTGCGGGCAGTCAGCCGTCTAGACCGGGACTTCCCACTCCAGGCATGGCCAACGCATCAGCATCCTGGGAGCAACACAGAGATGTGGTTTTCTACTTTCCTTTCACATTGAGGCCAGATGGAAGTCTCCGGCAGAACCTACGGAATGAGACAGAGAAAGAAAAGTCACGCGTCATATACAGACATAAATTACTGATCTTTCGGGGAAAAAACCCAAACGAACTGTTTATTGAAATTTGGCATCATAGAACACGGATTTCTTCTGGCTGTAATCTTTGACATTTGAAGCCAAGTGACATTTTGAACCCTTAAAAGCTTAGTATCATTCGAAAGAAAGGAAAACTCAGAACTTCATACTGTTGCGCTTCTGCTCAATCACACCGACATTTATCTCGCGATCTCGAGAGGCGGGCTAATAAAGTCGTGCTCGTCTGCAGCGCTGGAAGGTGTGTGGTAACGAATCACTAGTTCATTTTTAAGTGTAACAGAAACAAGCAACTGAATAGTCATTTCATTTAAACACTGGTTAAAAATGAGTCCTTTTAATTCAAGGTTTCACAAAGATAATCACTTTGTATGGCTAAAGGTTTTATGTGGTTGCTCACTACTTATTTCAAAAAACAAGTTAAGGTAAAACATGGATTTGGCTCAGAGGCACGCCGGGCTGTACGGTTCTATTTGGTGTAACTTCCACACCTCGACTCATGGGTTGCTTGCTTCTGTGATAGATGTCATACTCTTAACAGCTTTTTCTCCCAAAGTTACCCTACTTTGAATGTGTTAAACTAACCTAACAATGGCCTTATTACATCATGGTGTTCCTCATGTTAGAGTTCTCATGAACTTCCATCACCAGAAAATGAAAATTAACACAATGGCAGGTCCATCTCCTGCCATGTCCATCTCAGCTTTTGCGTGAATTTTAGCAGATAGTAAGAGGGTTACCAAAAGTGACTTTTTTAAAAAAAGCATTTTTGACGTTAGTAAAAAGATCAAATAAAAAGACTTCCCCAAAGATTTAAGACTCCTTTCTTGCATTTCATGAAAAACTACACAGTGACTTTGACATTCATTAAATATAAAGAGGGGTGCCTGGGTGGCTCAGTCGGTTAAGCGTCCGACTTCAGCTCAGGTCATGATCTCACAGTTCATGGGTTCGAGTCCCGTGCTGGGCTCTGTGCTGACAGCTCAGAGCCTGGAACCTGCTTCGGATTTGGTGTCTCCCCCTCTCTCTCTGCCCCTCCCTCCCTCTCTCTCAAAAATAAACAAAAATTTAAAAAAATTAATATAACAACAAATGTTTAAATCTACCACAGGACTAAGTTATTACTTTATCATTAATGTACATTCTGCTTCCTAAAATTTTCTCTACAAAACTGTCTTTTCTGATCTACAGAAGCTAGACAAATTAAAGCAAACTTTTTCTATGATTTTTACCTGCTGAAATTTTCCAGCTGACTCTCCAAACTAAAACATTTTTTGTAAGTTCTTTAGTATGTTTGGCACCCAGGATGCCCGACGGATCACCAAGTAAACAATACAGGGAATTCTGGGGACATCACTTGAAGCAAGGTGACAAGCTGGTGCTCAGTCAATGAGGATCAACCAAGACGGAGAGCGGACCGGAAGCCACGGCTGAAGGAAGCAGATGGAAGAACCGAAGGCAGCCTGGGCTCGCTGGAAACAGCGCCCGAGACTGGAGGGGGGCGGCCCTCACGCGTCCCGCACAGCACGGAGCAGGGCCGGCAGGGGAGGGGGCGCCCGAACACGGGAAGGGACCGCCACCAAGAACAGGAGGGAAGAGCACCTGCTACTCACCATGGCTTGCTCCCCGCCAGCCAGGCTGGAAAACCCCGAGTCAGAGGCGCGGGACGCTCAGGAAGTGGCTGCCTTAGCGCGGGGAAGCAACAGGCCCTAGACGGGACAGCGCCTGCCTGATACATCCTAAAATCAAAGCCTGAAAGGACCACACTGTCTCCAACTCATTTCACTACGGTCCCACAAAAATCTCAAGAAATTTATAGGAACACAAAAAATATCCAGCACTTAGAAAGTAAAATTTACAGCTGCCTGGGTGGCTCAGTTGGTTAAGCATCTGCCACATGTCACAGTGTGTGGGTTCAAGCCCCATATCGGGCTCTGCGCTAAAACTGTAGAACCTGCTTCCAATACTCTGTCTCCACCCCCACCCTTCCCCGACTCTCGCAAAAATAATATAAACATTAAGTTTTTAAAAAGTAATATTTGGGGCGTCTGGGTGGCTCAGTCGGTTAAGCATCTGACTCAGGTCATGATCTCCCGGTTTGTGGGTTCGAGCCCCTTGTCGGGCTCTGTACTGACAGCTCGGAGCCTGGAGCCTGTTTCAGATTCTGTGTCTCCCTCTCTCTCTGACCCTCCTCTGCTCACACACACACACACACACACACACACACACACACTCCCTCTCTCTCAGAGATAAATAAAACATTAAAAAAAATTTTGTCAAAGTAACATTTACAATGGCTGGCATCTAATAAAAAATTAGCAGACATGCAAAGAAATTAGCAGACAGACACAAAGGAAGTAGAAATGAAGAGAACAAGTCATTGAAACCAACTCAAAATTGACACAAAAGTTAGATTCAGCAGAAAAGGACCTTGAAGCAGTTATTATGACAAAATGCCACGCAGGGCAGGAGTAGAGAACAGAAGATATAAAGTCGAACATCTACAGATGAAAACGACAGCATACGAAATGAAAAGCACACAGCCTGGGGTTAATGGCAGATCAGTCATTTCAGAAGGAAAAATAAGGGCATTTATTTTGTTGTTGTTTTATGTTTGTTTGTTTATGGGGGGGCGCAGAGTGAAACAGAGAGAGAGAGACTCTCAAGCAGGCTCTGCACTGTCACTGGAGCTTGATCCCATGAACCATGAGATCATGACCTGAGCCAAAAATCAAGAGTCGGATGCTCAACCGACTGAGCCACCCAGGTGCCCCAATTACAGAGTCTGAAACTGCAAACGAAACCTTATGGAATGAAACAGAGAGAGAAAGGAACAAACTAACACAGCTTCGGCCAGCTGATGTGACAATTTTAAGAAATCTAACATGCACGTAATTGGAGAAGAAAGAGAAGGCAACAAAGACATTCGAAGAAATAATAGCCAACATTCTTCCAAAACTGATGACCGCTGAACCCAGAGATCCAAGTTCCCTGGACTCTAAGCACAAGAAAGATGAAGAAAATGACACCAGCGCACGTGGCAACAAAGCCCCTCAAACAGGTGACAGAGAAAGCTTCACGCCAGACAGAGGCCTCAGGTGTGACGGAGCAGAGAGTGAGGACACCAGGTTTCTTGCTGGACACACGCAAGTGAGAAGGGGGCAGAAGGGCTTGAGAAGCCTGAAAGGAAAAACCATGAACCTGGAATTCTGTACTCCACCCCCCCCAAAAAAAAATCTTCCAAACCAAAGGGGAAACAAAGACTTTTCCAGACATGCAAAAGCAGCGGAGGCGTCAGAAATGATGAAGACAGTCCTTGGGGCAGAAGGAAAATGACTTGAAAACAAAATGTGGATCTAGAACAAAACGTGGATCCACTCAAAGGAACACAGAGCACTGGAGACATTCTTCTCTTTATGAAAGTGTCTTTAAAAGATACTCCAGTGATTGAAACAAAAATAGTAACTATTTATTGTGAGGTCTGCAACATATGTATAAGCAAAACCCAGGACCTCACCGAGCAGGAAGAGAAGGGGAAAATGCACTACTATTTTTTTTTAAAAAATTTTTAACGTTTTATTTATTTCTGAGAGAAAGAGAGAGACAGTGTAAGCAGAGGAGGGTCAGAGAGAGGGAGACACAGAATCTGAAGCAGCTCCAGGCTCTGAGCCATCAGCACAGAGCCCAACACAGGGCTCGAACCCACAAACCATGAGATCATGACCTGAGCTGAAGTCGGATGCTTAACCAACTGAGCCACCCAGGCGAGCTGAAAACACCCCACTATTACCCACTCTGATCATGCTACATGAGATGGTAGAATGCCACTTGGACAGACTGGGATAAGATTGGTGTTAATAATAACAAAATTAAGCGGCCTAACCAACCAATTAAACGGCAAAGATGAGTGTGGAGGGGGGTCAGTCAGTTGAGTGTCCGACTTGATTTCAGCTCACGGTTCCTTAGAGCCCTGTGACAGGCTAACAACGCAGAGCCCACGTGGGATTCTCTCTCCCTCTCTCTCTGCATCACCCCTATCACCTGTGTTCTCTCTCTCAAAATAAACAAACATTTAAAAATAACAATAAAAGGCAGAGATGGTCAGACTGAACTTTAAAACTGCAAGACCCAAATATATGCTGCTTATAAAAATATCCACAAAAATAAAGACACAAATAGGTTAAAAGGACTGAAGAAGATCCAACATGCCAACACTAATATAAAGCAAGGCTGAGCATCTACATTAATAGGACAGATTTTAGAGAAAAGAGTATTAACAGAGATAAAGGTCATTTCATAATGATAAAGGGGTCAATTTATCAAGAGGACATAACAGTCCTATTTATTATATACCTAATAGAGTTTCAAAATGCGTGCATAGGGGTGCCAGGGGTGGGGCCCCTCGGTTGGTTGGGCGGCTGACTGGCTCAGGTCATATTCTCACAACCTGTGGGTTTGAGCTGCGCATCAGGCTCTGTGCTGACAGCTCAGAACCCGGATCCTGCTTCAGATTCTGTGTCTCCCTCTCTCTCTGACCCTCCCCTGCTTGTTCTCTGTCTCTCAAAAATAAACATTAAAATTTTTTTAAAAAATATCAATTTCGTAGGGGCACCTGGGTGGCTCAGTCGGTTAAGCATCCGACTTCGGCTCAGGTCATGATCTCACGGTTCGTGGGTTCGAGCCCCGCGTCGGGCTCTGTGCTGACAGCTCAGAGCCCGGAGCGGCTTCAGATTCTATATCTCCCTCTCTCTCTGACCCTCCCCTGCTCATGCTGTCTCTCCCTCAGAAATAAACATTTAAAAAAATCAGTTTCACACAACAACTTAGTATAACGTTTTTTTCCTCATTTAAATGCACTAAGGCCTTAAAAATTTGTGCCACGACAGACTCTGTTCACTGTGAAGACAGAGAGAAACACTGTTATAGCTGTTAT